CTAAATAGCAAACACCTGTATATATATATAAATACAAATTATTTAACACAATATGTAATTTTTAATTAACGGTAATTAATAGACGATTAAATTATTCTTAGTGAAGGAGCAGACTCAGAGTTCTGCGGGAACCAAACAGATCGAACCCAATAAATGGGCAAAATGATCATTACAAATAATAATATGCGGAATAATAATTAAATAAAATAATTAAATTTAAATAATTAAATTTAAAACTACACCTTTTGAATCATTCACACTAATTGCAGATGACGTACTATAAGTTATAAAAAATAACTTTTCTCCTCTCAAAATAAGAGCACACGCAGAGTTAACAAGCTTAATATAAAATATGTCGTGTGATTTTATGATACTATGAGCTGTTTACGAAAAAAATGTATAAATAACAAGTTTGTGCATACCACGTGCTTAAAATACAGCAGAGCATGAAAACATGAGAACATCGGGAACAGAAACGTATTCACATGCTTAATATTCATTGTACAGTTGTCAACAAGAAGATTATACGCTGAGCTCTGCAGCAAACAGGTTGAATGAATAATGTTACGTGAAGTAAGGTAACGTAAGATAAGATAAGAAGTAAATTATTTGTAATGCAACCCTCTGTTTGTCCATCTTATCGAATATGACTCGATTAAATTCATAGAATTTTACGATAAAAATCTAAGTGATGTGCACTCTTTGAAAAGGATTATAATTCAAAAACTCTGATGTTATAGGCAAATACCATTATGCAGACTTTAAATTACTTTTTATTTATGTTCACTGTTCATAATAGGCTGTTTATTAAAGAACGACATTATATGAACTGCAGATATTTTGGTCTGAACGACTACCAGAGAATGATTTTGAATGCAGGTCAGACATCTGCCGTGGCCTATTTAAGGTACTATCATGCATGCGTCTCGGTGCTCAAGTGTCGAACCGGGTGCCCCCTCTCACATCCCGGTCTAATTTTACCTCTAAGAAAACACCTCACGCCCGAATTCGATATTACTCAGTTACTACGATGAGTGGGTGTGTTTTAAGCGTGCATATGAAGTTCAAGTTGCCCCTGGATCTTAATTAAGTCCCATGCCATGCAGATATATGGCGAAGTGGAGATGTTTATAACCTCAGCATTAGGCTGATGTGAATGGTTAGCTTAACGACCTAGTTACGAAGAGAAAATTCTGTTCTGCCTTTAACCTAACCCCGATTACTCAATCCATTACATAATCGATAGAATGAATTATCCGGGCTCCAGCTGAGATATTCATCAAAAAACGTACTTAATATTTCCACTTTACTGTAATTTATAGATAATTCTAGACTGGTGTTGCAAATGGTTGACCTGGTGCAAGGTTGGAACGTTTATGTCATTCGTGTTAGCCACATTGGCCCAGCTAAAATGAAAAATGTTTCCCGTCTTACGTACGTGGTTCATTGACATTCCATACAGTGGAATACAGCAGAACCAACTAGATATAATGGATCGTTAGCCATTTTTAACCAGCCAATCAGGGGTTGTTATCGGGTTTAAACTTTTAAAAACGAGAAAAATGGTCGGTTTTGGAAGTGTTAGCCGGGCTAACACATCGGTTTTGGAAGTGTTAGCCGGGCTAACACATCGGTTTTGGAAGTGTTAGCCGGGCTAACACATCGGTTTTGGAAGTGTTAGCCGGGCTAACACATCGGTTTTGGAAGTGTTAGCCGGGCTAACACATCGGTTTTGGAAGTGTTAGCCGGGCTAACACATCGGTTTTGGAAGTGTTAGCCGGGCTAACACATCGGTTTTGGAAGTGTTAGCCGGGCTAACACGGTTAACAAAAATGCTCCGCCCCTGACCTGAAGTGTTAAGAAGTGACGCGGTTGGCTTCTTTTTACGATAAAGCGACATGCAAAATGTATATTTAGGAGCGAAGGGTCGGGTTCAAAGCTACACTACGTCTTCCGTAGCACGGAAATTGCCACGCCGGCAACAATATCGTAACTGAAATTAGAACAGATAACATAAAACATACTGATTCACACATTATTTGCATTTGAGTGTGCAGAATTTTATCGCAGGTTCAAGGATAGTTTACATTCATCACTCCTTCCCTCCATTACCCCTGAAATGAAATGTCCCCGTATTTCAGTGTACCCCAAAGGCCCACACAAACCAATACAATACCCAAGTTTGCTTCTGTCCTATTTATGACATCCGTTTATATCGTTCAACCAAAAATTGTTTTAAAACCGATTACTACAAAATAATTCCTCCCCTATTTTATACTCGTATTTAAAATTACAACATATCAGAAATATCAAATTTTCCTTTCAAATGTTAAATGGCTTTATTCATTCTTAACGCAAAAAGATAAATGATTATTATTTTTAATTCAATATTCTACTGGCATGTTAAGTTTCCTGTAGTCAATAGCTGGTGACATCACTCCAAGATTTTAAGAACAGCTCTTATTTTCTGTTAATTTGTTATAAATTTGGTCTCAAGTGGCGACAGCTCCTAGATAGACTACTAAAGATAACTGTAAATATACTGAATAAGCAGTAGTGGACAGCCGAAAAGGAGTGATCCTGCAGCTTGGTGGTAGGACTAACAATTTCTTAATGTAAATTTTGGGCATTACTAAACATTAAACAGGACTTATGGACTGCTGGAATCGCACTGTCACATACGTTTTGAATAAAATTCCTATGTGTACCTCTGTCTTGTAAAATCTCTCCACTCCTCTCATTGTTTTATTCTACTCAACATTAAGACTCTGCCGAAAATTATAAATAAAATAACAAACAGAAAAGTCCCACGACCGACGGTACTTTACGTGTTATTTCGTATGTAAATGTTTACAGGATTCATAAGTACTGAAGATGCGGCGTGCCCAGGTAACAACGGAATGAAGGATCAGGTGGCAGCACTGCGCTGGGTGCGAGACAATATCGCAGCGTTTGGCGGGAACCCGAGCAGCGTAACGATATTCGGCGAGAGCGCGGGTGGCGCTAGTGTGCACTATCACATGCTGTCACCTGCCAGCAAAGGTGAGAAAATGCGAAAACTTCCCCATTTTGTAATAACGACCAACTTTAAACCCATTTTATATATCGACATAAATCGATTATTTAAAATGAACAGAAGCGTTATTTCAGAGGTATTCGTACCGGATCGCTCCCTTAGTCTAGCAAGTCGAGTGTAATGATAGTTATCTCAAATTACGTCTACTTATTCTTAATTCCACATTCGAAATTGATAATAATTATACACTGCACGTTGTATGCCCTCTGTATTTGAAAAAAAAATCATCAAATTATTTTAATTATTATTTTTAAATTAAAATGGAAATTTTTTAGAAATGTTATGCTTTGAAAAAAAAATATTGACCTTTACACCGTAAGCTATTAAAACTGCCATAATCATGTATTTCTTCACAGGTTTGTTCCATCGCGCCATCTCCCAGAGTGGCAACGCTTTGGGCGTGTGGGCATTTACACCTAAAGGAAGACCAAAGTATTTGGCAGAAAAAGTAGCAGATCTGTTTGACTGCCCGGCTCAACCGAGCACAGAATTAATCTCCTGTCTCAGAAAACAGGACTCATACAAGTTATTCAAGGCGGAACTTTCCATTTCAGTAAGGTGTAAAAGAGAGAGAGAAGGAAACAGAGGCCCGGGAAAGCGGCCCTAATAAGAGCCCATAATGGTTCGGCAAATGAAGCCCTAATAAGGGCCGTTTTCTCAGACCTCTCTCTTTCCTTCTATCTCTCCCGTGTAATTATCCCTCCTACTAGCCAGGCTGAGACACAAACCCCACTCCTATTGGTTCCCAGGCCCTCGAGGGATTCTGTCTCCAGCCCCAAATATAACTCTAACCGTTTCCACGCGAGCGGCTTACTCATCGCCCTGATGATGGAGGCAGCAAGAACCTCTGAAACGTAGATAAATTTCTACCAGACTACACAACGCAATAAATCAGAAGACGGCCATTTCAATTAGTTAAGGCTTATGAAACCCGATATCTGACGGGTTCCCTTGTGTTCCGGTGAAAATATTTCAAAATAAGACAGAAGACTTTATTTTCAGTTTTCCAATTCATTGGTTAACTCATAGAATGTTCCGCCCCCTGGTTCTATTCGTGGAAAGTTTCGTAAATAGTGGTGGGACAGTTTATAACTCTAATCTCGATAATCGAATTTCGTGCTGCCATTACTGAATCGATTTGAAAATTTCAAGATAAGACACCTCAGCTATCTTCGTCTTGATTACGAAATAACGGCTTGTTTTCCTCGTCAGTACTGGGCGTTTTCCACGTTTTCCTAATCCTTAATTTTCCTTTAAGAAGAATAAAGCAAGTAGCTCTCGAAAAGCGAACCAATACACTCCGTTAACCCTCCCTCCCATCCTGTTATAGCTTTCTTCTGGTTGCTTTTCAATCAGGCTTTATTTTTTTTTATTTAGTGTTCTGTCTGACGACAGGTCCATATGAACAGGATCCTTCCATCCTTTTCTCGGACTGGGACCTGTTCATATACGTTCTTGGCAGATGATCCAGAAGTGGTTTGCCATTGCCTTCTTCTGTGTGTGAATGGAATAATTGTTGGGATGCCACGGAGGAAAACTCCGGGCTGCCTAGACCACGGCCTTGCCCACCACAAGTTATAAATTCGGCCACCGCCGGTTCATATACGTTCTTGGCAGATGATCCAGAAGTGGTTTGCCATTGCCTTCTTCTGTGTATGAATGGAATAATTGTTGGGATGCCACGGAGGAAAATAAATCTGGTATAGTATCGACGGAACGTGAGTCACACACCGCCAGTCCACGTTACTGGCATGAATCCTAGTGAGACTCGAATATGAACATTAATCATTGCTAATATGCGATATATCGCGATATACCGTGTTCGATAACCTGTTTATGTTTCAGGGCGATGGGAATTCCCCGGTCACATTCGGTCCTGTCACTGAGACTG